TTCTTTTTAATGCATATGAAAATAGGCAGGTCAAACAACACGTGCTTAAGAATTCAGAGCTGACAATATACTGTCAAAAAGAGGTAGGAGCACAATACATTTCTGACACAAACAATTATTTTTGTGCAATTGCATTGTTTAAAGGGACAATATGCTCACACCATACGCTTAGCATGTTAGCTGGGCTTTAATTTGCTGGTCTCTTACTAAAGGTCTATTTAAAAATTAAATCTCAATCTAACACTACCCTTCTCACAGGGTGACAATATTGCTGTGCAATTCCCCTGCAGACTCTTCTCCCCCTGGACCTTCTCACCCTGGTAAACAAGTAATAAAACTAGGTTACGAGTGGAGGGGAGACGACGACGACTAAGCAAAACAAAAACTGCTGTGTTAATACTACTGACGGATTGCATCATATAGTCATGGGTATTGACCTTTGCAAAACATTTTAACAGGCAAACACTATATCTGCATTGAAATAGTGCCTACAGATAATGTGATATACCTGTACTTGAACAATTGGCATATAAACTTCATATGATTCATTAACACACTCACTCTATATAAATTAAAATGCAGATTTGTCACGTGAAAGAAGTCCACACCTACATTTATCACCTCCCCAAATCCATGAAATTACAATCCGGAGTTCCAGATTAGTTGCCAATAATTAGAATCTCCTTAAGCAGTATGCAGGTGGAACCGGTCTTCTCCTAAACCACAGATATCTAGGGTCTGGTGTAGACTTTACTAGTGACGTGCATGGTGTCATCATGCCAAGATCAATAGAGCTCTCTAAGGCCCTCAAAAAGGAAGTCTGGCAAGGGGTTTAAAGAGATCCAAATTATTGGAGATCAATCAATCCACTGTATATATAAAAAAAAAAATCTACAAGTGGCATAAACATCAAACAACTACTGATTTGACGAAGACTAGCCGACCCGGCAAACTCTGCCCAAGAGCTGACTGTTTGATGAACCTCAACTATTAAATCTCAGGATCTGCAGGTAACACATGCAACAGTTGGTGTCAAAATTGAATGCACAGGGCTGCCCCTATAATGAGGCAGTCTGACACTGTGGCCTCAGGCGGCATCTTGTGGAGGAGGCGGCAGGCAGAGTGGCATGACGGCTCTGCTGCACAATGCTTGGTGTGCCTGCCACCCCTTTCCAGCCACAGCGCCCCGGGTTGCCAAGAGCCAGGTGGTAAGATGTGTGAGGCCCATACACTTGTCTGCCTAGCTCTGAGCAACCTGGGACGCCCTTGCCCACATCCCACTGAGATCCTGGCAGCCAGTGATGTCACTGGTGGCCAGGAGCTTAGCAGAACACTGGCAAAAAAGATGGCACCGCTTTAACCTATATGGCAGGTGTGCCAGGAAAAAAGCCTTTACTGTCCTAGGAAAAAGCCTTTGCTGTCCAAAACAAACATTAGAGAAAGACTACAGTTTGCCATTGAACACATAGACAAAGAGCAAGCCTTCTGAAACAACGTGCTGTTGATGAGTGATTGGCCAAAGTAACAGGCATGTTTGGCTCAAACCAAAGAGCATTTCAGGAGAAGAACCTCATACCAACTGTGAAGCATGTTGGTGAAAAAAAATGTCATGCTGCTTCAGGGCCTGGGTAGCTGGCAGTAATTGAGTCAACTATACGTTATGTATCATATCAAAATGTGCTTGATGAGACGGTGAGGGTGTAACTGTTGAAAAGCTGAACTAGAAATGGATCTTTCAGCGTAATAATGATATAGAGCACACTACCAAGAAGCAAGGAATGGCTCAAAAAAACAAAACAAAAAACAAAAAGGGAGCGCTATTAATTGGTCTAGTCAAACCCCTGAATTGTATCCAATTGAAATGTTGAGGGGTTGGGTGGATTTGAAATGGGCAGCTCAGACAAGAAAAACAAACATGCGACTGTAGGAAATTTCCATGGCAGAGCGGTCAAATAAAATAAAAAAAAGGTTGATGTCAAGGCGCAGTGGGCATTTGGCAAAAAAGGCGGC